CCCACCTTAAGAAAAGACAAATGTTCTCTCTCAAACCATTGTGATTCTAAAAGACATCTTAATAACTTCCATTATTATGACAGATTTCATTATAAATACAGTGTGTTAGGATACTATTTGGACTAAAGACATGGAACTTTCCTTATAAAACAAATAGATTTTTGCAGATGCAACCCTTTGTTTGAGGGGCAGCAAAGAGGAGACAGGACTGGTGCTTTTAGCCTGAAGGAGGTACTAAGGTAACTCTACTCCAGCCTGGAGTTCTGGATACAAACATATGAAAAATGCACTCAGAAGAGCTCTTATCTGTTACAGAAGACTCTCTAGTGGCTATATTATTCCCTGATGTACTCCAGCATATAGATAATCTATTTGGCAATTATTTTTGTTACACTGAGCATGTGGTATTTTAGTCTTTAAGCTTTAACCAACTGTGTATCTCTAGGGAAAATATAGGAAGAGCCCCTCCACACTCCAGAAATCAAGACCCCCCAAGTTTGTGAGATGGTCACAGGATTGTGCTCACGGAGCAGCCAAACTAATGCACATTATCATTCACATAAGCAGCATTTCTGACATGCTTTCTCATGATTTCCCCAGCAATCAGGCTTATTCAAAGAAATGCAGCAGCTCCACAGTTCTGCTCCTCTGCAGACTGCGGTCGCTGTTCCTGCTGTACCTACCTGTGATGACAGCCTCAGCTGTAGCCATGTGCATGAGCGTGTTGTCACTTACTGGCCACTTGTCAGGAGAGAGCACCAGGTTCTCAAGCCCTCCAATTTCCTTCAGCTCCTGCTGGATTTTTGCGCCTAAGGCATTGTTTTCACGAGAGAAATTGCGATAACCGAGAGCATCCCCTACTGCAGCCAGAACAAGTGCAGCCTTAAATTTATCCATCCCCAAGACACTTTCCACTTTCCTTTTGCCTGAGACAGCCACTGAATCTTGATCTTCCTTTGTTCCTTTGCCTTCAACTCAGCTCCCCCGACACTTTATATCAGCCATTGTGTCACACCAAGAGCTCTCTCTATAAGGCAAGGACTTCCTTTTCTGGCTCTGCAGATGCCATCTCTTGTCTGGGACCCGACAGAGAGGAAATATTTCATAACCCAGGGATTTTGCAGGGGTTTTGTTCAATGAAACGGTAAGACCAGACCTAGAAAAGCCTAGTTTCTGCAACTCAGCTTAAAGCAAGCCAGGAGATCCTTAGCCCTACTCAGCCAAAGTAACTCTACACCCAGAAAAACAGATGCCTCCACAGGGGTGCTTATTTATTCAACAAGTTGTAAATTAATATTTTTTCTTCTGCCCATTTCTGATATGCTAAAGTCAGCCTCCCTCTCAGGGACCAGTCAGAAGTAAAGGCTATTATAAAAGCAGTTTTCCAGGCTCTGCACACTGTAGGAGGGATTAAGCAGTAAGAAATCTAGTGAAATGCAGATAACCTCTCCCATTTCTAAATACACCTTATGGAGGTATTTTGTTAACAGCTTTCTTGTTCTGTTTCACCTAGTATAAGAATGTTCTGTTAATTCACTGCACCCCTGGATAAACACTGAGCAAAACAGCAACTTCAATTCCATGTCTCTTACTCCCTGGCAAAGAGTGACTTCTTCCTAAAGCTAAGGTCAGTCCACATTTTGACTCTGGAAGGAAACTATTTTGAAAGGTGTATTGAAATGGCATTCTGTGAGTCTAATAACATCCTAAAGACTCACAAATTGCTACTACTTTACAGACAGAAATAGAAATATAAATATAAACATTGAGAGTTAAACAGAAAGCATTGATTGACTTGACTAATTTTGATAACTGATACCAGGGGAAAGGTCTTTGTTTTCTTTGATCTTTTTCAGAGGGCAATACTGGTTGCTATTAAGATGGAAAAGGCCAGCAATGTAAGGGATGCACCATCCTAGCACCCAAGACAACAAGTTAAAAAGCAATAAGTTAATCATGGTCTCAGTTATTGACCTGTGTAGAAATATCTCTGTACTTAATGGATTTTTAGGACGCACAGAAGCATTGCCATGCCTGCTCTACATTAGAAGAAATAAGGTGCCCAAATGGTGAAAGCAGCTTCTGTTAGTGCACTCTTGTTTTAAAGAATGGGATTGGTTAACAGAAGTGCTGAAAAGGACACTGATAGTGTGTTTTCATTGCTAGAAAGTAAAATGCCATGCTGAAAAAGCCAAAAAAAAAAAAAAAAAAGGAGTAAAGGAGGACAATTATGCCTAAGGGACCAGAGGAGGATATGCAGGGACAAGAATCAGTGGGACATGTCCAGCCTGCTGTAGAGCTGGCTTGCCAGAAATGGTGGATGCCAGCCCTGTGTGGGGCAGGGGGAACAAGCCTCATGTCTCACAACCAGGACATTTACGCAACACAGAGGTAAACTTAGAGTCACCCCTACACTGCAGGTTGCCTCACGTTCCACTGCCTGAAAACAAACACTAGAAATGGAAAACCAAGGCCAGAACAGCTTACAGAACACACCAGGCAGAAGCTCTGACGTAGACATCTCTGTTACAGGTCCATCCACCCCTCTGTGGCACACACCTGTTCTCTATTCCTGCATAGCATCACGGTTTGGAGGCACATGGGCATTTGAACTTGCTAAGCAAGGACAGGAGGAATCTCCTGCTGAGGCACTGTGGTGAGCTAGCAAGGGCCTCATCAGATGGAAGGTTCCTCCCTGAAAATGGGGGGCAAAGCTATTCTTAGTTTTCCATTTATCTTTTCCTTCCAAATGTGGCTGGCAGTTGCACTGCCCTTTTGCCTCCCATAGACTTCACTGTATTGCAACACAACACACTCAGCTGCTCAGAACACAGCCCAAATTAGGTATAAGGCTATAATAAAAACCTAGAGAAAATTTCAGAGAACTTATATTTTTCAACCTTGTAAAATAGAACATGCAGCAAAGACATTTTTATTTCATTTTTTAAATTACACATGATCTCCTTTTCATGTGGTAGTTCCAGCTACCGTGAGCTTTCTGAGCAGAGGTAGGCTGGCCACACTAAACTACCTCTACTCCCCACAAAAGGAGATTTTTTTGTAAAATATACCTACATGAATTAAACAGAGATAAAATACAGTAATTCCATGAAGATGGGTAACTATTCACAATTGGAAAAAAAATACCTGAGCAGACCTGGCAAAACTATTTGGTAAATCACATTAAAATGTATCTTTGGTGTCTTTTCATTAGTGTACATAAGACAGCATTCAGATGGGGAGAATCCATTTAAAAAAGGAATGGGAAAGCAGGACAGAAAAAAGGCTTGTCAGTGTTGGTGGCAACACACTGTTGTTTCAGCTCAACTGCATTTGAAACCCAAGGTGAGAACACGAAAAAGCAGCTGCTATGCCTCCTCCAGCACAGGGAAGTGCATGGATGGGCTCCAAGCCCAGGATGAGCCCATGCACGCTACAGGCACTGAGCTCTGCTCCGAATCAAGAACTGGCAAATGGAACTGGACTGACGCTGTGTCCACACAAATTCTTTTTAAATTAAAAGAGGACTACACCCCAGATGCTTCCACCATGAGTGAGTGAGTGATCCTTTGCCATTCAAAGACATTCAGCAGAGAAATGTTGTTGATTCCAAGTTCACCCATCCAAAGGACACAGAGCCATATCCTGGAAAAGTAAGTTTGCTACCAGGTGGGTGCCAGACTTCTGTCAGAACTGCATTTTTACAACTCTTGAAGTGCAGGACTTTACTCGAGCATCAGGATCATTCCTTTAAAATACATTCATTGAGATCCAGGAAAAAAAAAAAAAAAACTTTAAAAATTTTCAATTAAAATTTTATTCAATTCTTTAACAAGGGAGATGAATTATTTCCATACAGCTTTATACCACTGCCTTGAAGGAAAGAGAATCTTCTAAAACCACAGGATGGAGTTCTTCTTTACTGTCTTGACAGAAAGCTGAGGTGAAAACATGAAACGTATAGAGTTTGTCAAACAGGAGTTCACTGCTTGGAAAAGGAGGCACAAAAAAAAACCCCATGGGAATTGGTCAAGTATACGCACCAACAAGAGGAAGTATCCCAATATTCAATCAAAATGTGAATGCCCCTAAATTTCCCCCTCCTCCTTAAGAAATGAACATTGCACCCACTTGTCTGAAATACAGTATTTTCTGCATGTGGTTGTAAGAGGCAGCTGCACTTGAAGATCCCTCTGTCAACAGTTTAGGACCAAAAAGTTAATTTTAGAGGTGTGTCACCTGGTTCTACCCAGCACACTGCAGATAACAAAAAGTTCAGGAAACATGTTTTGCTGAACAGGTTTGTGGTTGTAAAAACATGACACTTTTTCAGGAGGGCTATGCCTTTTGGTGAGATGCTGGTTGGCATCAGCTGAGGGAAGTGACTGGTGTTGACACAAACGGGGTCAGGCATCAATGTCTGCAGCTTCCCTGTCACAGGAAATGGAGGACAAGACCTGTGCAACACCAAAGCAGCCCGTGGTTGGTGCAAGCACTGGAGAAGAATGGCAGCTGGGTGAAGACAGAGGACAATGGACTTATTTTGACTTAAACTTTCAGAAGAGAATTAACGATAGGTGAATGCATAACTCTGAAGGTCTTTGCACAAATTTTTGAGCATGCTGCTTCTCCAACAGAGCTCAGAGCCAGGACTGAGCAACACTTTCCTGCAATTGCAGCTCCCATTGCCAGCACAAACTAATGACACAAATTGTGGAGTCTGGTGACCAGTAGATACATGCAGTGAATACAGTACTGCAGCTAAACATGTCAAGCCTCTTAAAAGCTTAACGGTGACACAAATGACCAAAACAAACATTTATTAAGGCCACTTAAAAATTAATGAGTTACATCCTTACTCTCTTCTGGTTGGTGGAGTAGTAACACAAGAACCTAATAAATGAACCAGAAAACAACAACAAAAAACTCCCACTAGACCAAGACTTCCAAAGCAGAAAACTGACAAGAACCATACAGACATCTCACATGACTGACTTCAATCCTTTGAAAGTCCATTTATTCCTTTTTCCATTGCCAAAAAATATACACACATGTACAGCTTACTCAGCAGCAAATCTCCAAGGTGCATTGAATAAGCAGATGCCTGCAGGTTTGCTCTCCTTGGCATGACACACATGATAAATTACATTTAAATTTAGAATTGGCAAGTACAAATCCTATGGCTCAGTTTCAAACCAAACAACTTGGCACCAAGTTTAAAAATACATACAGCGTATCTGTGAAGTAATACTGTACGCACTGAACAACTTGAAGACATCTGCAGCATTTAGGATTATAAATTGAGTAGCCTAGGTGTTACCACTGTATCAGCTTACTTAAAATGGAAGTCAGAGTACCCTGTAAAGTGGAACTGTGGACAGCAGCAAATCATTAAAACATGCAACAAACTTGTAAGGTGAAAGCAGCTTATTTGCATTTTTTATGACTGTTCAAGTGTTAAGGTGTTACTTTATATGGGAATGTAAAAATCACATGTGGTTTAAAATGGGTAGAGGACCAGGAAGAACAAAAAAAGGAAAAGCATAGCAAACCTCAAAAGCTGGCTCACAAGGATCAACTACTATCTCTGGAGTATTTTGTTCAGTCTTCCACTGTCACCCAGGAAGGATCCCCCCAGGAATGAGATTTAAATGTGTGTGTACATATATGTATATATACACAAACACACACACTGAATCCTGGGCTAAGCACCCTTCCTTCTTGCTGTAATTAACAAGGGAAAAAACCCTCAACCCACATGCATTTTTTATGCTCTATTTATTCTAAAAGGTAGAAGGTTCATCAGAATGATTTGATGGAGCTCTCATCATGAGCAAATGTTTCACAAGCTCTAGTGCTATGAAACTTCAGTTACATCACATACCAATAGATTAAGCTACTTCTGGTCAGTTACATTTTATCTATATATTTTAAGTGGCAATTATGTGAGTAACAAGCATTCCATTGTTTCTGGCTAGATAAATGCACTTGATGCTGTAAGATTTTACACATTCTGCAAAGCCTGTGGGACAGATACAGAAATGGCTTGCTCTGGGGAGGAGGTGTACATAAATCAAACACAGTAAAAAGAGCATAGCTACTTCTAGCTCTCTGCTGACTTCTGTAGAATACTTGAAAGTTATGGACACAAATGCCCTTCTAAAAAGATGCAGTCAGAAAGCAGAAATTTGGTACAACCTCAGTGGGTAACTGCGCAGGAGCACCAGGCAGCAGCGGGCTCAGACGCTGACACCTGGCGGCTGTTTGGCCAGGGCTGACACTCACAAAAAAAAAAAAAAAAAAAAAAAAAAAAAAAAAAGACAAATATGCATAACAAATCACTCACAGGGCATTTGTAACTTGCTTGCTGGGCTCTAACTAAGAGAAAAATCACTAATTTGTTGAAATCTTCCCTCATCTTGCTTTTTAAATGTCATGCACAACTGAAATTCTAGCAAGTGGAAGAACAAAAGTAGTCTCTGTATGCAGCATGTACACTTGTCCTTGCAGGTCGTGTTGACATAATGCTTGTATGAAACTCTAAATATTAGAGTTTAAGAGAATATTGTCAGCTTTTATACCCTGGCAACTACAAAATAAAAGTGTCTGTTGTCATGCAACACATCAATGATCCAAACACATATATAAACTATATAACTTAATGCACTATTTTCTCCAGAATTCTTGCATCTATTCAGCCTTAAATACAGAAAATATTTAGATCATAGCTGTACATACTCTCTAGCAACTCTTCATTTTAATAAACTTTTACAGTGGCTATGACAAACTCATTTTGATGAGGTAGCATTTGCAAGAGCCCCGTGACACGCTGAATAGTTTCTGGTAAAACTTTTTTGTGCTCAGAGGACACTGATGAAAAACAGAAGACTGACACCACTGTGCACTTCATAATCGGTGGCTGGCAAAAGGGGAGAAACAAGTGACTGAATGAATTCAGATTTGGTGAAAACTGGTCCAATTTCACCAGACTTGAGATCACTGAAACTGCACTGATTTGGTTTTTAATCCCCTTAAATATAATTGAATGCACAATACATTCACAAGAATGAATACTTATAATCATTAATATAAAGTCTCCTTACCCCTAACTATTTCTCCACCGTGGAAGCCAACTAGTTAAGTCTTTGGGCTTACTTGCATCTATTTTCTGTGAGAAGTGCCAGGAAATGAATTTACAACTATGGTGCATTTAGCTAGAATTTATGATATGTTTCAAGCTACAAATAAAATCCATATTCCAGCAGTTCCTTATTAAAATAAATAAAATACATAATTGGAGACTAACTGAATTATGATAATTAAACATTAATTATAAAAGCATCTTTGGTTTAATGTCTGCTTTAAAATGGTTACTAAAAAAAGCTGGAGTTGCAACACATCATAGAGCAGCAGCCTGTCCTCAGCAATGCCATTGTTACATGTCCAAGCACTTCAAGCAGAAAAATGCAAATTCACTGGGAGAAAGCAAAAGGCTGGATGTGATCACTGTATACATCTAGGATGTGAAAATACAAATTTAACATTCTGGCAATAAGTTAAAACAAAAAAAGCATATGTTCATTTGTTTGAGATTTTTTACAATTCTGTATCAAGAGAGATCCAGAGAACTAACTTTATAAAAATACAACATACTGCATAAGTTTTATTTATGGATTTAATTTATATTCCACAAATACTGCTTTTAATAAGTACAATATAATACATTTTTATTCATGTAACTGCTGGTGTTCACTTTGGATTATGAACTGAATGGCATGCTGTGCTGTCAAAACTTTAATAAAATGGCCTCTAGTTAAACTTCTCCAAAGTATAAAATCATGCAAAATCTACATCCTATATGATACAACCAGTACAATAATTGAAGCCAATAGCCTACAAACAGCTTGGATCTTCTGAGTTTGTTCTTGAAGTGTCCACATGTCCATAATCATTTTCTTTAGGCAGAAAGGAGGAATTTCAGTTTTGTCTGCAGAATGTCATCCCAAGCACTGAAACCAGCACCAATGTGCAGTTATCAGCTGACAAATCTTCATTACCCACTGCAGTTCATTTAGTCCATATCAACAAATCTGAGGTTAGGAAGTTTTATGTTTTCCTCCTGTGATTACTGGTCGTGCATACTCCACAAAATCATCTATTAGAACAGGCCACGCTCCTACAGTGAAATCAAGCAATTGAGAAATTAGCCTACCATCATCAGCAATAAATTGGTACAGTCTATAAGTACAAAGGATTTACCTCATCTTGACATTTCTGCCCTAGTCTAGCTTTAACAAGCACAACATGATAAAATACTTGGAAAAAAACACCTAACTAATAAATTCTACATTTGAATCTCTTTTGTCAGCAATAGTTCTTAAGACAACCAAAATGTATATAAAACACAGAATGCCACAGTACAAATATAAGCATTAGCTGATAGCAAAACTACAGCATTCTTATTATAGCCATTCATATCTTGGGACTTATTTCTGCACACATACCAAAACAGAATTAGTAACAGAGTAAGCTGCATTTAGGGTAGCAAAAATTTTGTACAAAACGTTTCCCTCAGAGGTCTGTAGCATAACACATTCAAATAATGTGCTCTATCATGGTGTGACTGTATCCTTACCCCTGTTTTCAAATTACAGCAAACCAGTTAACCTCCTTATCACTACTATTTTGGCAATAAGTATGACACTGTATTGGCAGCTGAAACTTTAAGGGTAAACATATTAGGACACCAGGTAACATGTTCTCTTGTTCATTTATAGTAGTATTTTAATTCTGCTGTACCAATTTTTGAAGACATTCAGGTACTGCTTACCTTCTTCATCATAGTTGGACATATCATCTGCAATCATATTTCCAAAATCTAACAAAAGATTCCAAGTATCTTTTGGAATTGATCTTTTATGATGTTCCTGTACAAAGGAATAACAGTACTGTTCAGTCCAAACTACTTTCAAATTCCATAGCAATATTTTATATTGACATATACAGAAATACCTATTTCGAACATTTCTTCACCTTCATTATCTTAAAAAAAAAAAATAACAAAAAGAAATCCATCTGAAAGACTTCCTGCTTGCTTCTTTCTGAGGTTGAAATCTCTTAATTTAAGTATTTCTTCTCAACTAAACATTCAGGTTAAATGTTTCTTCTAAAGAAACATTTAATACCAGGTCGTAACTTGGAAGATTTTTCTTCAGGTACATCTACAGATCTGAATTTGGATGTCTTAAAATGTACTGAGGCAGTTAAAACATGAAATGCTTTCAGAAACCCTCTTGATGAAACTGGTATATTATTCAATGATTCAAATAAGCATATTGCAAAAAAAATTAGAAAAAAAAATACAGAAAAATATTTCAAAAAGTGTACACCTTCCCTATGAAGCACTGGGGGAAGTAAATGCAGAAAGACTTTTTATTTCTCCTAAGCTACAGATAAAAGGACAAAATTAAGAAAATCAAGAGAAATTATATATTATGTAACTTCATTTTTTGTAATTATATAGACATGCAAATGAAGAAACATAGATGAATGAATCTGGTCTTTTACAGGAATATTTTTGAATTTCTAAAGATTAAGTTATGCATCTTTACTTCACTGCCCACAGAATTGCACTAATAATAAGACAACAGTCAAGATCAGTTCACTACTATTAGCTAAAAAATTAATCAATGTAATAACTCAGGCAAAAAATTTTGTTGAAAATGCAAAGTCTCTTAACATTAAATTCTGGTATGACTGATTTAAAAAGACTGAGTTTATGCATTAGTACTACAAAAGGACAAGCATGGTAAAATACATGGTTGACAATAATCACAGCTCTGATATTTTTTCACCGAGAATCAGCAGCACCAGTTTAATTTACAATCATGGCTTCCTTTCATTCAGGAACTTTCCTAAGTAGGAGGATACAGGATTAAGCAAGCAGAACACATTGTTGCATCTTTTTGCATTCTTTTAAATTAGAAAACCATAAAGAGAAGATTTAATTTGGCTTGATTTGAGACTATTTTATATCAGTTTTCAAAAAGGAAAAATTTTGAAGTATAGAGATAGCCCATATTTTTGTTATCGGAAGCACACAGCCAACAAAAGCCAGACTACTATGGAATAAGATAAGCAGTAAGCAATAAAGTACATACTTACCAGCAAAAATTTATTCCAAAGATCTAAAAATTTAAACCTTCCTGACAAGACTAAATTCCAGTATGCAATTGCCATTTCTAGATCTGCAAGAGATAAAGCAACATGTAAATATTGCAGTACATTATAAACAATAAACCCCTTCTGATTAAACAATTAATGCTACACCTAGCATATTACAATACAAATAAATAACACTCTTTCAAAATCACTAAAAAAAACTATAAGGAATTAGTTTTCTACTCTCCCTGACCCAAAAGGTAGAAGACAAGCAGTAACAGTATAGATTTTGTATTGAACATCAAGGTCAATAAAATTAAAATATTTTTGTCACCATCTGCCAATGCCAGATTAAAGCTACTTTCAATCTACAGAAACAGAGCATTTAATGATAAATCTCTCTGCAAATCAAAAAAGAAAAAAATATACGCATACATGCATAAACATAGCAAATATTGATAGAAACAAACATTTAAATCCACAGATGTCCACGCCTCCTAATTTATCACATTTTGGACACACATTTTGAAGGGAATGTAAGGACATGAGGAGATGAAAAAAGTCATTTATCTGTGGTATTATGATTCTACAGAATCCCCTACAGCAGTAATTCTGTTCTTCTGGCATCACTCAATAGTCAAACACTTAAACCCAGTACTGAAAATACAAGTCCAAGAAATCAGCCTTATTCTGCATCATGACCAGTGATCTGAGAGCAGGGTTCAAGGAAGATGCAGCACTGCCACATATTCCAGCAGAAAGGCAGAAGCGACATTAGATGCAGCTTAAGGGTAGAAAGGATGTTTCCTTGAAGGCCTGTTTTCATCCCCAGCAGCTCACAATACCTAATGGCTTTGGTGCTTGCACTAGGTACACAATAACTACTGGGCAACCATAAATAAGGCACAGCCTTTCTTAAACCACAGAAATATTTCAGCTTGTGCTTTCAGTATAAACAAAGTGTAAACAGAATATGAAGCTTAAGAGACAGTACTGTGATAGCACATAAAACAGAAGCTTGACCTGCACCTACAAGAAGGAAGAGTGGTTTTTGAAATTGTACATATCACACTACAAACCAAAGGACACTGTCACCTGAAATCAAGCTTAATGTCTGAAAGATGTTCCAGATTTTAACACAGCCATGCCCCTGGAGTCCCTGCTTCAGACAAGGCTGGGGCCTGGATGAAGTGCAGCAGTTAAGATGCAGAGAACTGCAATATGCCTCTACCTATCTGCACAGGGACAGTGCTGCCAGTGCTTGTCCTACGGTGTTCTTCAGTACAGAATTTGAATTACGCTCCACTAAACTTCCTTTTGCTCATCCTGTCTATGCCACCACGCTCATTTTTCACAAAAAATATGTAGAAGAGAGAAATTAATATCATTACTTGATGCTTAGATATGCAGATTAATTATTCTTATCTGTTATCCCAAATTAAAGGCAAAAAGAATGAAAAGGCAGAAACTTAATAGTTTCTAAATGTCACTGTGAAGTAACTGGCTTTGATCCCACTCACTCAGGCTTCTTTATGAGGACTCAACCTCTCCAAGCAAACCTTGCAACTCATGTGACAACTTGAAGCCAAATGCACTTTCAAGAAATAAAACCTTAATAGTTGAAAAGTTTATACTTCTGATGTAAATATTCCCTGGAAAAAGGAAGAAAGCAAGGTAGGGAAACAAAGATGATTAAAGGTACCACAGAAGAAGAGGTAAAAGGGAAAGAGAGAACACTTCCTTGGTTTTTGTCTAAGTCAGTATTATGTTAAGGTGAACTTGATTATTGCAAAATTGTGTTTAACACAATGCATGCAAAATACTCTCTTAAGTTGACACTCGAGGGCACTGTGTACATGTGTCTGCCAATGAATTCTCCTGCACAAAGACACAGAAGTTACTTGTTATAACACACGAAAAATGCATATCCCACTGAGGATACAGCTCTGTAGTGGATGAAACATGCCCACACTGGAGCTGCTCTTCCCAGTAGGCACATGGAGGAAAGTCTATCTCAGTAGAATTTGCAAAAGGGAAAAAAAAAAAAAAGTCGATCTTTCTCATCTGGTTCACTGTAATCCCACAAAGCCATCAACTAACACAAGTGTTATTTGAACACAAGGACTAGATGGGACTATCACTTTTGGTAGTGGTGCCAGTTTATGCAACCTTAAAGCACATGAGCAAACTAGGTCTTCAGGTTTGCCACAATCTCAGGAGATATGCCTACACTTCTGTTTGAAGACAATTCCCTACCTAGGTTAAAAAAATTGGCACTGGAGGACAAAAAAATATTTTTCTGCTTTAAAGCGAAGACCTAGTTCAAATTCTACATGCTGACAGTAGTACCAATAAACAGTGCTGCTGTGGATCTGCTACAATTAGTGCTGCACTAATATAGACAGATACTAAAATAGAGAAAAGGCCTTATGCCATTAGGTTCTCCATCCCCACATGAAGATGCTTTTGCACGGCAAAAATTTGTCAGGCAGTCTTAGGAATACCTCTTTCAATGCTGTATAGATACAAAGGCATCATTACAATAAGAATCAAACTACTATAAAATATGCTGGGTTTTTTATACCAAAATATATACTACCCACATTACAGACCAATAATATAAATTTTATAAACAAAAAACAAATGCATGGATCTCTGAAAACACCTAGACAAGGATCAGTTTAAATAAGACTTCATTGCTAACATCCATGTTCATATCCAAACCATAAAATTGCTAAATCATTAAAGAACATCATAGAATTACATCATATACGGTACATTATATAATTTAAGCTTTCCTTTCAATCCAAAAATATTTTCAGAATCAGTATCTGGTGAGTTGTATGCAATGCAGACCCTTAATCAGCTTTCCTCAATCAGAAATAGTATTTTGCATGCAATATGATCTTTCCTCAAACATGAAAACCTCATTCTAAACAGGCTTTTAAAAAAACCTTAGCCTCTTCTATCCTGATTGAACAGAAAGCTTGAAGTGATAACAAAGAGCACAATTAATGAAGAAGGAAAAATACAGCCTGTGTCTACTTTTAAGACTTGACTGAATCTTGTTAAGAAATAATTAAAAAAAAAAATTAGATTACTGCATGAAAAAAGTAAGAATCAAATGAAGTTTTTCATGTTATGATTTTGGACCAGGGCAATAAAGTCATTGCACACTAGAAATTAAGGAAGTGTGAAAACAAAAAGAGAAATCAACAGATAGCAAGGAAATGGCTGGAGAGCAGGATTTCTGAGGAACATGAAATGCAGCTCATTTAGACCTGCTGTGCCAAAACCACCCTCTGGGACTGCAGCACTCACTTGTCATCCTCTGCCAAACAGAGCTTTCTAGCTCTCAGTCTGCCCTACCAACAAGACCTGTTCGTGCACTCACGCTTGAAATGGACAGAATATTATCACTAATTCACCTGAATTACTAATATAACTTTTCAACACTGTGTTGGAACTGATGCACAGGTAAGAACAATGGTGTCTACCTGTCTCAACAACAGGACTATTATACCTGCCTGACCAATAAGAATTAAGTGAATACTTGCAGGGTTCAGTGAATTAATAAATAAATTCCTCGTTTCTTCATTTCTGAATGATTTTTAAGAGTCTTCTTTGGCCACCAAATTGCTAGGACCACAGACACAAGAATTAGTTTCTTCTTTCCTAATCAGCAAAATAACAAGAATATACCATGAGGATTAAACCCAAAAATGTTTAATTGAATTGCCAAAAGATTAGAGCAAAATAGGCTATAGTTGCAACTGGAAGCTCCCCCACAGAAGATAGGCAGAAGGGGAAAGAACAATTCAAGGGGACTGATACAAATACAGATCATAGCTAAACTCGGGATCTAGCTGAGCTGGATCCACTCATCCCTGCAAAGACATCAGCAAAGAGCTTCCCAGTGCCCAGTGTTAGGGGACAGATAATGCAGTGTCAGGCTTAAGTGCCTGTGGTGGACAGGAGGGAGGGTAAAGCACAGCACATGGATTTCAGAGGGGCACTGCAGGAACCCAGCAGGGTCTGGCTGTGCACATTGGCTCTGTCTCAGCATCTGCCATGCTGACGCAGCCTGATTCCATGCAGAACCTTTCATGTTTATCTATTCTCACCTTAAGCACAAAAACAGACTTGGAATGCAGGTTAGACTTAGGAGATGACTGTCAGAACACCAGTTTGAGTGCAGCCTAACGAACCTGGTTGTGGCCAGTTCAAAAATCCTTTTGCCTCTGCAAATCTCTCCATGTACCATTCAGATACACAACAACAGATGACAAAGTTGACTGGATATGCATTTCCCAAACATGAATAAGGGAATCAGTGAGGCATTAGTAGAACTGGCAGTTATGCCACCCTCCTACTGATCAAAGCACCTCTTCTGTACTAAGTTTCCCTTAAACTGCTGGCATTTTCAACATGGAAAATGTGAACAAAAATAAAGCAAGAACAATACACACAAACCAAGGTCACTGGATAACCTAAAATACAGCATTTACAGACCTCTTACAAAATAAATACAAAATTCATTTATAGACCTCACTCAACTTCTTCCATGCACTCACTACTACAAATTGCCTATGAATGTAATTCTTCTTTGAAAGGGGAAAGACATCTTGATAACTAGCCTGGGGGGGGGAGGGCAGGAGTGAAAAAAGAAAACAAAATAGAAAGAAAAAATATCCTTCCCTAATGTCTAAAGATCTCTTCAAAGAATACTGAGATATTGTTATGATAAAAGCCAAAGCTGATGTTGCTTCAATTAAAAAGAGTACATTATACTCATCTGCTTATAGGAGAGGAAACCTCCTTGAAGTCCACATACCGGATGCAAAGATAGTCATTCTTCTGGTCTTGAGGTAATATTTGATTCAAGTCTGAATGCCCTCCTCATCTTTCATCTCTTGCTTGATCCCAGGCAACTGGCAGAGAGAAGGAAGCACAACCTATTGAGCCAGCAAGCAGACGAAGGGATCACAAAGAAGTGATGAAGGACCCAATCGGCTTTTTGTCTCCATGTTGGAAGGTGAAGACCATGAAAGAATGCATTAAGCTCCTTCCTGGGGCTGAAACAAAC